CTCTGCACACTGCTGGCGAGGTGCGGAAGTCCCAAGCAGGCTGGGCTCCGGGGATAGCGTGAGCCCGCCCACCTGTTGGAAGCTGCACAGTTCTCCCAAGTGCAACCGGGATGGGGAAGCAGATCGAGCATTACATTTCTTATGAAAAATATGATTAAAAGAAAGCAAAAATGGGAGTCTTAATCCCTCCACTTCTTGTAATGAGGCTCTGGGAAGTGGTGAGTTAGGACCTCTAAATGCCCAGACACATCTCCTGGGTCAAGGCTCCATTTCTGGTGAGGAGCCTCCAGACAAAATCGAGGGTAATAGTGCAGGTTCCGAGTGGCACCTGGACAGCTTCATTTCTTTCCTATGTTTAGGTTTCTGGGAATTTGACAGCTGCAGTACTGTGACCACGTGTGAGGAAAGATTGGATTAGGGTCTCAAAATCCATGACAAATGCAACATTGGCTTGAGGGTTCAAAATCCATCAACAGCCAAGACTTTCAGGCCAGCCTAGGTTCATAATAAATTCAGAATCAGCTTGCTCTAAAAACTAAGACTTTCTGTAAAAAAATTCCGTGAAAAACAAAAGATTATTTTAACAAGCCAGGCATGATGGTTCAGTCTTACAATACCAGCACTGGGAGGATGAGGCAGGAGGATCACTGCAAATTTGAGACCCTGGGCTCCAAAGTGAGTTCAAGGCCAATCTGAACTGCATCTCAATTGATAAAATATCTGAGAAAATTCAATTACTCATTCATGGTATTTTAATCCTGTTCATGAAAAATGATTCATTTCTTTTAGCCATATGTAAGTAATTTCAGTTGGACTTGGTGCTACAAATATTTAATCCCAGGGCTCTGGGAGGTTTAAGCAGCAGTGTTAAAAATTTGAGCTTAGCCTGGGGCATAGAGCGATATAATTATGTATTTGGTTTTAGTACAGACAACTTAATTCATTACATTTGTGTTGAGCTACATCCTCACTTTTAATATTTTTATGTATGAGAGACAGGGTCTTGCTATACTGTTCAGGGTGGCCTTAAAATTACAGTGATCCTCCTGCCTCAGCCTCAGGAGTGCTGGGATTACAGGTGCACACCACCACACACTGCCCACATTTTTATTTTGAGACAGGACCTGGTGAGCTTTTTGGGCTGGCTGAAAATTCCCATCCTCCTTCTTTAGCCTGCCCTGTTGCTGGGGTTATAAGGAGTCCTCTGTAATTTTAAAAAGCAATTCATATCATCGGTATTTATGTAAAAGATAACACCAGTAGCACTGAAACAGTATTTCATAATAGTTTTTAAAACTACCACAGGAAGTACAGTCCTGTTCTTGAAAATTGCTCTCACCTGGCCTGAATCACCAGCAGGGGGCAAGCTTGTCCCACAGCTTGGAATCAGCTGCATTAGGAATGGAATCAGTCTTGTGCTCCCATCTGCATTCCTGCTGGGTGTCAGAGTTCTGCTTTTGTGTGGAATCCTGAGATGCTGGCCACATGGAAAACTGTTGCATTTGTGCACTGTGTCTCTGCTCTCCCCTTTTCTCAGGAACAGAGGAGTGTGTTGTTGATGAAGTTGGTGGACTATGTTCATGTGTCTCTATAGTGTACATAATGAACATAAAGTGTGTTGTGTCTTGAATCATAGCATCTAGTCTTCCAGGATGATAAAGAAGTTTCTAGGGTACAACTGTATTAGTTACTTTCCTCATTTCCACTACTCAGCACTCACAAATTAAGGGAAGAAAGGTTTCTTTAGATCACAGTTTGTAGAGGTTTCAGTCCATAATCTGTTGGCTCTAAGGCAATGTGGCACAGAAATCAGGTATCACAGAGAAAAAGCAGTTCACGGTGGGCAAAAAAAAGAAGGGATGAACACAGCTCTTTTTTTTTTTTTTTTTTTTTTTTTTTCGTACCAGGGTTCTAACTCACAACCTTACACTTGCCAGGCAGGCGCTTATTTGGCTGAACTATATCTCCAACCCGGCCACAGGTCTTTCTATGTGTGATTTTTATCCAACTACTTAGGATGGGTGGCCCCCACACCCTTAATCCTAGTGCCCTTCAGCCTAATAATACACCATGAACCAATCCCAGTGTGATAGAGAGCCCTTCTGGGCCCTGTCTCTGTCTGGGAAGTTTATGTTTGTAATCCCATAGAAAAGTTATTGGAATTCTGATGAGTTAATTCCAATCTATGACTTCCAGTGCAACCCATGGCAAGAATAAAGACACTAAAATATAATTCTGGGGAGTTCAGGGTTCACCAGAACAAATGACTTGACCCAGGGCCTCACCAGGATTTTATTAAATTGTGAAGAATGGAGTGGTTTAAGAAGGTGTAACTGTGAGAATGGCAGGAAATATGTGAATCTTGTGGGGTGGGTAGGAAACCCCAAAGCACCTCTGCTATATGCACAGAGCCTAATCTGAATAACACAGTTGAGATAATATCTAATGTTTTGGGGTTGGTGTTTCAGCTGTGATGTGCAACTTTTATGCCCTGGGAAGTCACAGCCTCTTACCTCAAGCTCAACCCCTTGTGGAGTGGTGGCTCTTCAGTACAGTGGTGGGAAAACAGTGACTGCCATCTGGCTTCATAGATGAAACATCAGCGTCTCAGCCAGCCTTCTTTACATTGCTTAAAGTCAGTCAAAGGGGCAGATGAGTACATATCAGTACATGCATCTCTGTGCACATCAGTACATGAAGACAGGGCCAGAGCTGGCCAAGTGGAGATAACTGATCTTTATTAAAGAAGAATCATGCCGGTGGTCCTCCATAGTGTCACACACTGAAAATTCATTCCTCTCTGGAAAAGCTCCACATATGATCACTGAGGCTTTGGGGAGACATCTAGACCAAGCCATAAGAATAATCAAAGCAGAGTTGGTAAACTGATGATTTTAATGCACTTTGCTTTCCACTTTCTGACAGAGAAGCTCCATGTTGCAGTGCCAAATGCCTGGAATCCTAGCACTTGCAAGGTAGAGGGAGTTGTATTGCCACAAGTTAGAAGCCTTAATGTTCTACACAATTAGTCCAAGACCAGCCTGGACAACCTATCAAGATACTGTCTTCAGAAAATATAATTTATCGCAAAGACTTTTGCTTGTTCCTTTGCACAGTACTGTAGCTCCAACCTAGGACAGTACCATGGAACTACATCTTCTTCAAGTATTTTAATCTGTGTCTTGTGAGATAGGGTAATGAAGATTGGCTGTGCTAGTCTTGATCGTGCAGTACTTACACCTCAGCTTCCTAATTCACCAGGATCAGAGACATGCACCATGAATTCAGCAGCTGTTTAGAACAATTATATCAATTTTGGCTGCAGTAGTACCAATAGAAACAAACACAGCCTAGAAAGCAACAAACTTAACCTACCCTTAATATAATTTGTGACTTTTAATGATATGAGCTAGATTCATGATTATAAAACAGAATATAAAAGAAACCAGATAATTATATGCAACATATCAATCTGTGATGTATCAGTTTTGAGTGGCTGGGAGTACAGCTCAGGAGTGACTACTGGTCTTGCCTGCATCAGGCCCGTGTCTCTACCCAGAGGGCTGAAAAATGGGAGTAAGGATCTGAATTCCTACAGCTCATCCCTATGGACAGGGTGCTGTCCAATGGCTTTGTTCCCCTCTAAACATTGGAAATGGCTGAGGGATATATGGGAAGCCAAGATAGATGTGCCAGTGCATGCCTGTGCTCCCAGAACACATGGAGGCTGTCATGAAAACTACAGGTTGAGCTTAGCCCGCACAGCTCAGCTGCTTAGCGAGACCCTGTCTCAAAAAGTAAACTCACTAGTAGCAGAAAATCAAGAGATGGAAGGGAGGGGGCTGGGGATTTAGCTCAGCGGCATAATCGCCTGCCTTGCAAGTGTGTGGTCATGAGTTCGATCCCCAGTACCGATAAAAAAAAAAGAAAAAGACAAAGAGATGGAAGGGAAGAGAATGAGACTTAAAGTCACTTAAGGTATATTATGTGTATGTACCAGCTCCTCGTGCTGAACTTGACCATTGCATACAACAGACATGTGAAAAAAATAAAAAAATATGAAAAAATAAAGAGCGATAGGTAACTCAGTATGATGGTCCTTAATTCAATTCCCTAAGTAACAAAAAGAAAGAAATAAAGGCAGCTTCCCTAACCAAGATGAATATTATTATGACACATGGCAAACATAGTAATAAACCACAAATTGGAAAGCCAAGAATTGGACTGATTCTTCATGAAAGAGTTTACATTAAGATTTGTTCATTTGTCCCCCTGTGTATCTAGTTATCTTTAAGACAAAGTCTCACTATGGAGCCTCAGCATTCAAAGTACTGGGATTATGAATGTGTTCTTGCATACCTAAAAGGTTTCCTTTATGACCATCTGATAAATATTTGTAGAGGATTAACACATTTTTATCACTTTCATATTACACAATACCCAACACTCATAATTTCAAAGGAGAAAAGTTTATTTAGTGTTACAATTCAATTTGACTGACCAGCATGGAAGAAGTACATGGCAGAGGGAAAAAGCTCATAAGCTGGATGTGGGACACAGACAGAAGTGAACAGAGGATGAACGGAGATAGTTTCTTCATGGCCTTGGCTCCATTGACCAGGCATTGCTAACCATACCTCCATGATACAGGCATCTCCCACAGACCCCAACAGGCAATGCAAGAGGCTTTCTGGGGACATCATGATTAAGAAAATACAATCACCATGCTGAAGATGTACACCATGGTAGCATCTAAGGCTACTTCAATAGTGATACTCCTGTGTGACAACCCAGTTTCCTCTGGGCTCCAGTCTGTAGAATTGACATGGTATGTCAAAATTACAAGAGTGGGTACAGATCTGGACATTAAGAGAAGGTCTTATGGCCTTCAACAGCACTGTCAATTTAGCACAGACCTGGGCGAATTGCTCAGGGTGTACACACTGTGTTGGAATATTGGACTCATAGCTCTCCAGTGGGGCAGGATACAGACCTTGGGTTTACTGGCTCATTCTTAAAGTCAGGCATAGCAGGACCTCATGGGTGCTCAGGGAAAAGTAGTTCCCACAGCAACTGAAAGTCCTGAGCCTTGAGCAGCTGCTCAGGGCAGGCAAGATGGCAAGGAGCTGGGTGTCTGTGAACTCACAGTGCTCTAGGGCTAGGGTCTCCAGGGTGCTGGCCAGATTGTGTATCAGAACTCGGAGGGTATCAGGATGGAATGAGTGCATTGAAATCCAGCTCAGAGTCAGGGACTTGAACTGGCTTGTGCTTGCACATTGGGACAGATGCTTCAGGTCAGATTCCTTCAAGGGGCTTGAACTCAAGGAGAGGGCCTTCAAGGGGGTCTGTGTCCTGCAGAGAGAGAAGAGTCATTTGGTATGAATGGAGGTGATAAATGAGGGGAATTAGGAAATGACCTCAAGGCAGGAGAGCCAGTGTAGCTCCAACATTCCTCTCACCATCTGATGGTCCCTGGAATGCTGCGTGCTGAACTCACTCATCCTTCTGGTCACCATCACATGTGTGATGGGCTCAGTCTCCATTTTTGCAGTGTGCCGTGCTCACTGCCAAGCACAGTCATAGCGCAGGCCCATTGAGGCCAGTGGGTGAATTGCAGGAAGAATGAAACCAGGCCATTGGACTGTATTTGGCCTTACATCCTCAGCGAAACGTATGTCCCTGTTGCTAGCCCTGCACTCCTCCTCCTCCTCCTCAGCTCCAGACTCCTGTGCTTCCCATAAGCTCATTGCCCTGCCTTGACACTGTTATGACTTTCATGTTGCCATCTGTTCAAAGCCTTACATACTGACTGGTGGATATTTGTGCAAGTGGTTATGTCCAGGGTGATACCTGGATCAGCCCAATGACTGGTTTCACATGCCAGCAGTTCATGGAATTATTAAACTAGGAAGCACCACCCTGGGTGTGTGTGGCACTAAGTAATAGGCTTGTAGCCTGGATGGAATATAAAGGGAAGAAGGAAGGCAGCTTGCTGCTTTCTTCCTGCCATTTGGTGGAATGTTTCTTCTCTGCAATCCCTGGATCTGGCTGACATTTGACTGCAAACTGTAAAACTATGAGCTAATAAAAACCTCCACTTGTTTTACTTGTGAGTGTTGCATATTTTGTCCTAGCAATCAGAAAAGTAACAATGAGAAGCACTCAGCAGTCTTTCCCTAAGAAGGACATAGAAAATGGACCACTTCCCATCACAGCTGCAAAGCAGTCACCTGTTGAGTGTTCAGGTGTGTGGCCTGCCTCTCCATGAGTGCTGTCTCTTCCCTTTTCCCAGTACTTTACCTAGATAGTCTTCCTAGGGAAGAAAGATAATCTGCCCTCAGTTGCCTGCTCTATGACAGCTGGCTTTCAGACATGCACCTGCTTCAGAACTTGTAGCTTAGTTTAATCCCTGCTTTACATGGGAGGTTATGGGAGACCTTGCCATGGTCCAGATGGTATTGATTTTCCCACTTACCAGTTTCTTCCCCTAGGCCAGCAGATGGGCACATATGCCCTATTAGTATTTACTGTAACCATGAATATGCACGGGAACTTATCACACACTCACCTTAAAATCTTATGCAGAGCTCCTCGTAGGAAGAAGACTTCCTCCATGTGAAGCTCCTGAAGACTCTGCATCTGTCCTAAGTGAGAAGCATAGAGTCGTGAATACCACTTGTTTTTGGAGGGAGAAGGGAACTCCTCTGTGCTTAAGCATCTGAAGTGAAATGTATGAAGGTTGGTCATCTTCTTGAGCTGAGAGACAAATGCTTTCATGGTTTTCTGATTCCAGTCACTGAACACATGCAGCTCATGGATAGAGTCCAGGTGCACAGTTCGCAGAAGCTTAAGGATTTTAAGGATATCACTGGACCTGATCGTCACCTTCTCACAGTACAGGCGCACTGAAGCTTTTCTCTTGCTGGCCCACTTCAAGAGGCAGAGCTGTAGTTTGTCATGGGTGGCACAAGACGAACTCCAGTATTCAAAACAAAGGTGTGTGAATATTCTCAGCATTGGCTGCTTTTCACCTAAGCAAGGCTTGCCTTTTTTCTTATTCCTGGCATCTGTCAAGTGGGCAGCACTCATTGCTGTGGGCCCTAGAGTCCAGAATTCCCTGTGTACATCCCTCCAGTCCAGCACCTGCAGATTCCACCTGCTGGGTAGGGAGAGAAACAGGATGCAGCCTAAAAATGGAGATAAAGGCCCAACTTCCTACACTGTTTTTTTTCCTTATCTCCTGGGCATTAGAGGCACAACCACTATTTCTGCCTTCTTGTTTCTCCCTTCTCTAAACTTTTATCATTTGGATGCAGCTTGATTCAACTTGTGGTTCCTGTAAGAGCAGGAAGGTGCAGGCTCCTCCTGAGTTCTCTGCACCATGCCCATGCTGCTTTCTCATCAGGAAGCCCCTTCCCAGGTGGTGCACAGCAAAGACCAAGACCTCTGCGCTCTCCCCAACATCAGAAGCTGCCCACACTTCAGTCTCCCTTGCTCCTTGACACCAACTGTCCCTTATCTCGATTCCCAGTACCGTCCTTCCAGTATATCTGTATCACTCTCACCTGTGCTGAAACTTTTGTGACAGCTGTGTGTCAATTCCATCCAGTAGGGCTTCTAAGCTCTGTAGGTTTTTCTGTTGTGGTGTGATTTCTCCAAACTGAGTATGTGTGGACTTTGAGTTCCTCAAATCCATCAGGGTCCTCAAGGGGAGGTAAGGGAATGGCCATGCCTGCACCATCACCTTGAGGACTTCATTGTGTTCCCCCATGAAGGCATCCATGAATATGTCATGGTACATCAGGGTGGACAGGTCCTGCAGAGCAGTGCTCAGTATGGTCTCACTTTTCAGCAGACTCTGCTTGGCCAGCTTGTACAGTGTCAGTGGGTTCCGCGTACTCATCCTGAAAGATCTACAAGAAGAAGTATTGTGTGTAACATCCACTGTGGCCAATCTGAAGAGCCCTGTTCTAAACCATGAAGACCAACTCAGGCCCAAAGCCCTTATCTGGCTATGAGGAAGCCTTCTTATTTTAGCCCATTTTCTCTGACCTGAGTGGCTACAGATCCATACCTCTGCATCTGTTCCTACCAGGACGCCACTACCCTTGAAGTCACTAGTATTTTGAATTTCAGTCCCCCTACAAAGAGGCTTATGAGTGTTGTGAAATCTCAGCCCCTTCCTGTTTGGGGAGCTTCTGATCCTTGTGCTAAGGCCCTAGAAGAGAGCAATGGAAATATATTATTGACCAGCCAGCTTACCATCTCTAACAACTATGACGCCAGTTGGGAGGTATTGCAGAGATGCCATCAAATGGGTCCTACTGTTTTTAATTTAAGATGTTTAACAAACAGGTATAGAAGCCATGTAACATTGCTATAGAGCATGTGGGTTTTAAAGATGGAAAATGCTAACTCTGATGTAAGAAAACTCTTGCACACATAATAACATCACTTTGTGACTGAGTGCAGTGAAAAAATATATGAAAATTTATTTCCATCTTGAAATTACAGTAAAACCGAGCATGGTGGCACTTGCCTGTTATCCTAGCACACTTGAGGCCAAGGCCAGTGGTCAAATGGTGTACAGAGTGGGTTCAAGTCCAGCAAGACCTGAAAAATTAAATCCTGTCTGAAAACTACAAAATAAAATAAAATAAAACAAAGTATTACTGACTTGCACACAAAAGAACACATCTATTTCCCCTGCATTATAGGAGGCTAAGTTGAGCCAATTTTATGTTCAAGCCCAGTATGTACAGTTTAGTGGCTTAGCAACAATATCTTAGAATAAATTCTAACTAAAATATCATTGTGGGAAAGTAGGTCAGTTCAAAGTCTCTGTTTTAAAGCCCAGTACCAAGAAAACGAAAAACAAAACAGTGAGTTTGGAGGTGCAGCTGTGTAATTCCATGACTCTGCAGGCTGAGGTAGGAAGATCACTCAAATTTGAAGACAAGAAAGCCATTGAACTACTTATAAATTTGTAATGAATCAAAAACAAATAACAAAGAACAGCCAAAAAAGAAAAGACAGAAAATCAAAACAAAAAAAGCTAAAAGACCACACACTCACACACACACACACAAGATAGCTAATTGTGCTACTCATTCTGGTAGTTGAAAGAAACATTTAGTGCTTGTGTTGTTTGACCAATTTTAAATGCTTGTATCTGGTAATCTGAGCAACTATGTTGAAGCCAACATTATGCGATATAATAACCACTGTTAATTTTCTATCATCTAAGCCAGGTGTGGTGGAGCTTGCCTTTAATCCCAGAACTCAGGAGGCTGAGACAGGTGGATCTCTGAGAGTTCAAGTCTTGCTCTGGCTACAAAGTGAGTTCAAGATCAGCCTGAATCCTACAGTGAAACCCTACCTCAAAAAGGCCAAAAATAATTTTTGGCATCATTTGATTAGAAATTCAGAATATTTTTGTTGCTTTTTAAAATTATTATTATTCTTTTACAAGCAATAATAAACAAGAAGCATGGAGTTTGAAGTCAGCCTAGCTGTTAAGAGACCCCATTTCAAAACAAACTGAAAAAACTGGGCTTTCAGGACAGGTAGGATATGTCATGCATCACTTCTGCCTTGAGAGTTTATATTCAAAGAAAACACTGGCTGATTTTCTCTTCCATTTCCTGTGATGTGCTCAAATCTAGAGTCCTTTGCATGCAGTCCAGGGCTCTACCATGAACAGAACGCAACAGATCATCAAGATTATACATCCTGATTAAGTGAGATTCATTCAGGGATGCAGGGATGATTCACCATACATAAATCCATAAAAGTGGTATACCACATTAACAGAGCCAAGAACAAAAACCTTGTGATCATCTCAATAGATGCAGAAAAAGATTTTGACAAAGTCCAGCACCAATTTACAATATAAACCCCACAGAAAATTGGGATAGATGGCCTTTATCATAATCTGATAAAAGTCATTCATGACAAACCAATAGCTGACATCGTACTAAATGGACAAATACTGAAAACTATCTCTCTGAAATCAGGAACAAGATATGGATGCCCACTGTCTCCACTCTTATTCAACATAGCCCTGGAAATTTAAGCTGGACAAAAAAGAAATACAAGGAGTAAAGATTGGAAAGGAAGAATTTGAGCTGTCATTATTTATACAGGTGACATGATACTCAACATATAAAACCCCTCAAATAACACCAAAGTATTGCTAGATTTAATAAACATATTCAGTAATGTGGCTGAAAAGCCAGTCGTGGTGGTGCACAACTGTAATCCTAGCATTCGGGGGGCTGAGACAGGAGATTTATTGCATGTTCAGAGCAGCCTGGGCTACAAAGTGAGCCCATGGTCAACCTAAACTGCATAGTGAGACCCTGTCACAAAAACATGAAAAAAATTAATGTAGCTGGATAAAATTTCAAAACACAAAAATCACTAGCCTTCCTGTACATGAATAGCAAGCTCACTAAGAGAGAAATTGGAAACACCTTTCATAATAGCATCCAAGAATACCTAAAAAAATCAATCTAACAAAGCATGTAAAACACCTTTATTTTGAAAATTAAAATACTCTGAAAAGGAAATTGAAGGAGAACCTATAGTGAAAGTGGCCATATTTCCAAAACTGTTATACAGATTAGGTGCAATCTCAATCAAAATTTCAATAGCATTTTTCACAGAATTAGAGAAAACTTTCCTAAAACTCATCTGGAACAAGAAGAGACATAGAATAGCAAAGGCAATCTGGGGCAACAAAGATAAAATAGGTGGTATCAGAATCCCTGACTTGAAATAATGCTATAAATATTTGTGATAAAAACAATGTGGTACTGGCAAAAAATAGACCCAAAGTTCAATAGAACAGACTAGAAGATACAGAAACAACTTCAGACACACTAAGCAATCTTCTCTTTGACAGAGGTTGACAAACAGTCATTGGAAGAAAGACAGCCTCTTTAATAAATGCTGCTGGGAACACTGGCTCCACACATGCCACAGATTAAAACTGGACCTGTAGCTTCCACCATGCACTAAGCTAAAATCAGAATGAATCAAAGATCTTAATATTTAAACAGAAGCATTCAATCAGCTGGAAGGTAGAGGTAAGTAAATCTCTTGAAGACATGGTTGTAGGCAACGACTTTATGAACAAAATCCTGATTGCATAGGAACTGTCACAAAGACTCAACAACTGGATCCTACTGAAAAGCTTATGCACAGCAAGTGAAACTACCACGAGAGTGAAGACACAACTCACATTGTGGGAGAAAATATTGCTAGCTGTACCTCAGATAAAGAAGTACTATCCAGAACACATAACGAACTCAAAAATATCAGTCCTCTCAGATATAAAGATGCAATCCAAAATGGGCATCTGCAATGAATACACACTTCTAAGATGAACAAATACAAACAGCAAATAAATCTATGAAAAGATGTTCAATGCTATTGGTCATTTGAGAGATGCAAATTAAAGCAGCCCTGAAACCCAACTTACCCAAGAAAGAATGGTTATTAACAAGAAATCAACCAATAACAAATGGTAGTGGAGCAGTAATGAAAAAGGACCCCTGCCCCACTGTTTGTGGGAGTGTAGACTGGTGCAACTACTGTGGAAACCCAATGTGAAGATTGCTCAAAAACTAGCAATGGAGGTCCTGTTTGATCCAGCTATTCCCATTCAGGGTATCTTCCCAGAAGAATTAAAAGCATCATACTACAGTGATGTATGTGAACCCTTGTTTATAGTAGCATTATTTGTAATATATAGATCTTTAAAAAATTAAATGCCTATTCACTGAAGAATGGATAAAAAGGCATGGTATTTTTATGCACTGGAGAACTACTCAGCCATAAAGAAGGATACACTGGATACTTTTGTAGATACATGAAACAAACTCATAATTGAAATATATCAGATACACATGTGTAAATATTATTTTGTCTCAATTGTGAGAATTTGAAAGGTACAACATTGGTATATATATATATATATATAAGTATATGCATATAAAATATGAACATACTACTGAGTTCTCTGAGGCAGTTGGAGAGAAAGATCTGTGTTTGTATTGTTTGGACAGTTGAAGACAGATGTCTTGTGCTCTGTGTAACTGATTTGGGGATGACAAGGTGCAATGTATGTACATTTGTTAGCCCCTGACTGGTGTGCTTTGAAATTTGTTTTCCATCTTCTTTGAATTACAATTGATTGAAAATGGGAAAGAGCTCTGACATGGGGCAATCTCTCTGGAGCAGTGGGTAAAATACTATTAGAGGAGCCTTGGGTGGTGGCACAGCCTGTCACACCAGAACTGGGGATGCTGAGGCAAGGGGAGTTCAAAAACAGCCAGGGTTGCATAGTGGATTCAAATTCAGGATGAACTGCCTAGTGGGCGTCCATCAAAAAGTCCTTTGAGAGATGGGAATTAAAACAACCCTGAGATTCCAACTCACCTCACAAAGAATGGCTATTATCAGGATTTAAGAAACCGAGAAAGAAGACTTCCAAATTGTACCCCAGACTGAATAACTTAGTGAGACCTTGTCTCTAGTTCAAAGAAAAATAAAAATGGAGGAAGATGTAGCTCAGTTTGAAAGCACTGATACAATCCTCAGAAGAAAGGCAAGCTAAAACATTTCTCCCTCAGGTTAAGGGCACAACTGGTATTTTTATATACAGTATCAGCACTTGGGAAGCTGAGGGAATGGATTACATGATCTCAAGGCCAGTTTGAACTACAAAGTGAGATCTCATCTCAAAAAAATATATGAGGAGACAAACTAATGCACAAACCTGTTTTATTTAGCATCACAAGAAATTCAGGTGATCAACAAGAGTGATCATGCTGATCTTTGAAATGATAGCTTCTGTTTAAGAAAAATATAAATTTAAAAATATTACGAGCTTATGCG